CTATCAAATAATACAGGTTGTTTGAATAAAACAACAAAATTCTTATTCAAAACATATAATGTTTCGTATAAGCATATATTGTTTCAATGAAACAAATTTCAACCAAATAAATAGGAATACTAAATCCAAAGAAACCGTTCTCTCTGTGTAGTGTATGTAATATGCACTTCGTGTCTTCAGCCGACGCGATCACGCGAGTGTGGCAAGACGAAGGAAGATAATAACAAAAGCTATTTCTCGTTGGGATGGAGACAGGCATTTGGAGGTACATTGTACCTCGTGCTACTTTAGGAGGTACCACTTGTACCTCTTAAAAAATGCACCGTGAATTTATAGAAGGTACCTCGGATGGTACCTTCAACTGATCGTCATATGTTCATTATTACCTCATATATCTTGTACCTCGTGCTAATATACCGGAAAATATATCTTCTATCAGCATGCAACTCAAATCTCAATTATGCTTAAGGGGATGCTGGAGTGGTTTGATTTACCGACAGAGTCGGATACCGTTTTTGCGTTTGTAAATCTTATTATTTGCATTTATGTACAAACTAATACCAGACCCAAGTGTAGAATGCATAGTTGAACATTTTCATATAAAAAACATTGAGATTTGAAGTCTAATTCGTATCGCATTATGTATTACAAATATTGCAATACATAATGCGATACGAATTAGACTGCAAACCTCAATGTTTTTTATATGAAAATGTTCTACTATGCATTCTACACTTGGGTCTGGTGTTAGTTTGTACATAAATGCTACATAATTATTTTCATTTGTATCTATAATATGACATGTTGAGGTTACGTTGTTAATCTTTTTGATGACACGCAAGTCTTCATGTTGGCGACACTGCTGATTGAGTTAATCGTGGATTAAAGTTAATCGGAGTTGGTTAAAGTGCCCTTAAGAGTGTAGGGGTTGGATTCTAGCTCTCTCTCTCTCTCTCTCTCGAAACGTTAAGTATCGCGCGAATGTCGATCCACGATCGCTGACGAGGGTTCTCCAAAATGTACAGCCGCCTCGCGCGTTCGCTTCGGCTCCTCAGTTTTATTCCCGGTTTTCCGCGCGACGGTTTTCGCACGGCGTTTTCCGAAATCTTTACGCTGTCCTCTTCTCTCCGAGCGTTTCCCGTGGAATTCTGCGCGTGCTGGCTCGGTCCGCGGTGCTGGAGCAAAAACGCGTAATAATTAACGACCGGTCAGGAATCTTATTAAATCGAGGAACGGCGATTAAAACGGCAATTGCTGAAACGAGCCGGCATCGTGTTCGCGCGCGCCCCCGGGAATGGGCGATTAAACAAAGCTGTTGAAAATTTCTAAAACGAACGTTCGCGCCGAAAGGGGTAACGTCGGGCGATAAAACGCGATTATTCATCTTTTTCCTTCGGTATTTTTAATCCAGCCTGAAACTGTGATTACGTTCTTCATTGTACTCTTATTTCACCGTTAAACGTCCCCGTGACACTTTTCCAAAGAAATATCGACATCCCGGTATTATTGAAGCTTCGTAAGCGGATTTTTTTTTCCCCCCCTCGTACTCTGATACCCGTCGAATAACGACGCGACGTCGTTTTTCTTTATTGCCACGACAGGCCGCGCAAGCTCGTTGGCGACGCTCCGATGTATTTCCTTCCTCTCGCAAGCTGTCGGCGTCTCGCGTTTCACAGCTGTCCTTCCGCATCGTCGACTCGTCGTCCTCATCGTCGTTGTCGTCGTCCCAGTCGTCGTCGTCGCCGCCGCCGCCGCCGTCGCCGTCGTAACACGGCAAAATAGTTTCGCGCCAGAACAATGCCACGATTACGTCGGTCCGTGTGCATTGTACATTATGAGAGGTAACGCGCGCGCCGCGCTTCTGTAATTATGGAAACCAAGCATAAACTCCGCGATTTGCATTTCAAACTACCATTGTAATCTCGGGGCCCGACAGGCTGCCGCGTGCTCGCTCCTCCGTGCCTTCTACCTACCTACATAACCCGTCTCCCTTGCCCTTTCGCCGTAGAATATTCCGAAATTGCCTCTCTTACTTTCGACCGCGGATCCCCCTCCGACCAATTTGGAGTCGGTTCTTTCTTAACGAAAATACGAAGGCACGAACGGCCTTAAGTTGCAGTCGGGCGAAATTAAAGGATTTTCCGGGAATGATTTCAATTTCGTAGCGGGCACAACGGGACACTCCATTATTTCTCGTTTCAGCGCGAGCCTAGCGCGGGGATGTCCGGCGTTAAAAATTGTAAAGTTAACTCAGCCCCGTTCTGCCGCCCCAGAGGGGCGAATTTATCCAAAAGGGATTGAAGGGGGGGCGCGACGAATCGCGAATATTCCGCGTACGGATCCATCACGCGTGTCCCGTCACTCTTCCCGATTATTCACGTTAATGCGTTTCGACGCATTCAGCCAACCCGCCTGTAAACGCGTTTCCGGCGCAAATTTTATTCCACTGCGAAACGCCGCCGAAACGATAACGCCGATAAATTCGTCTGGATTAATATACGGCACATGTATCGGAGCCCTGTATCTACAGGCGGATTCACGCGCGGGGCCAGGATCGATGTAACTTTCGACGGGCGTGCAAAATGGAATAAAAGTGTCGAAAGTGAAATAAGCAATTCCATTGTTTTCAGTCGATCGGCGCGGGTAATCGAGTTCGACTCTCGATTTTATGCCTACGAGGAATTTTCGTTATCGAGAGACGCTCCCGGGGACGCGTGGCGGCTGTGCGCGTCGTTTGAAAATCCGTTCCGCGAAAGCAGATACCCATTAATATCGAAGCGGCGGATACATCGCGGCATCGGCGACATTTAAATCCCGCGGGGCGAATAAATGAAAAATCCGCAGCGGCGGCGGCGCCGCGAGTCCGTCCGATATTCCGACATGCGAAAAAGTTACGTCCGCATTACGTCCGAAATTGCGTCGCTAATTAGCGCGTTAATTATGCGCGGCATCGCTAATTGCTCTCAAAGCCCCGGCCGCGCGCGGCGATTTTGTTTTCCGAAATGGAAATTTGTTTGCATCGAGCCGCGAAAATTACCGCGAGCGGCGGAGCGCATTCATTCAGCAGACATCTCGCTAATTGCTTTTAAACCCGCAACAAACCGGCTCACGGCCGGGCTTCCATATTATGCCGTATTTATGTGCTTAAGTGCGCGCTATACATATGAAAATGTGTCCCATATAATAGTGAAACGGCAGCGGAACAAAGTGGCGTCGATATTAATAGCGAGCGGCATGTAACAATAAAAATGCTGGCACAATGAGAAACGTCATATCAGATCTGCCGCGGCGTCGCGATAACGTGATATATTTACCTGGCGCTGTATCGATTTTTAATGCCGCGTAAAAATAGGGAGGGAAACATTTCTAATGCGGATAAAAATATTTGCAGTAAAACGATTTGCGCGCGGGAGGAGGAGGGAAATTTCATCACGCGGCCGAGATCCTGTAAAATCTGTCCCGCGGGCGTAAATCGGAATCGATGGCGCCGCGCGCACCGCACATCCGCGCGGGAATGACGACGCGACAACGGCGGCGACGTTATGCGAAAATCAACCCTCGGCGCGAGTTCGCGTTTCTATTTGCAGGCCGGCGTTAAACGATGCTGACCGATATTTCCATAAACAGCGAGCGGACGAGACCCGGCTCGGCGCACCGAGAGTGTATACGAGCGACGTTAATTGGGGCCTCCTCCAATTGCTTTTATATCCTCGGCTGCGTTTCGCCGCACCTCGAGGCCACACTCGGCCGTCGCGCCGCGCCGGCCCGGGGTGCATTTTCCGCGCGCGCGCCGGGATTACATCGATTTCCGAAATGAACGCCAGGCCGATACTCGCTCCCGTCGCCGCGTCGCACGGCAGCGTCCGGTATCTCGCGACAGCCCGCGACCCGATATTTTTTCAAAAGCCCGCGATACCGTACGACGACTCGTTAACACCTCGTCGAAATCGTACGCGCTGCGCGTCACGCCGCTCGTGCGCGCTCCGTGTGTTACAGCCGGCCGGAATACAAATGCTGCGGGGCTGAAAAATGTATATTTTCGCGGCGCGAGCCGCTACGCGCGCGTCAGATTTTATCTTGCGTCGCGCCACTGTGAAGAGTGGATGAATTGAAATTAAACGTACGAGAAGTTTTCGGATTCTCTCTCTCTCTCTCTCTCTCTCGCAGCAGACGTTTATTAAACATTAATTTCGCGTACTCGCCGCGAGATCCGCTCCGGCGGATCTAGCGTGGGATCGTTAGTTAGCATCCTCATCACTCAGTCATGCTATCGCGCTTGATCCATTCTCGTGTGGACTTTGGAGACCGTGTCGTAGTTAGAATGCGAGTCCCCGGGCGTTACGGGAACCGCTCCGTAGTCGGAGTGACAAGTCCCCGGACGTACGAGACTATCTCAATCTAATTACAAACAATATACATTGTCTCCTTGCGCTTGCATCAGTCAGACGTGCAACACAGCGGCAGAGCCTTTGATAATATCCCGGGAAGAAACTAGCTTCTCAATCACGGCCGAATTGTTATTTATGCGTTAAAGTAGCGCGGAACAATCATCGTCGCACGCGGGGCTTTGTTTCGCGGCGGCGGCGGCGGCGGGCGAAATTGATGGCGGGCGATATTTATCGAGCCTGCACATGTCGCACGTGTGACACCTGACAACATCGCGGCTCACCGTTCGTCGAACTTTGTGTTGCAGGACATGTCCGACGTGTGCGTTGGGACCAGCGTCGGGACCATTACGGAACCAGAGTGTTTGGGGCCCTGCGAGCCCGGCACCTCCGTCACCCTCGAGGGCATCGTTTGGCACGAGACCGAAGGAGGTAAGAACCTCGTTACAGCTTAATTCGCCCATTTGCCTTCGCGGACTCTCCGCCACCCTGGACCTCCGACCTTCTTGTTATCTCCTTAGCTCTTAGTTATAGGGGATTAGGTTGCGAGATTAATCCTAGAGCGCGATAGCGCGTGGCATTGATTTTTCATATTCCCTTAATAGACAATTAGAGTCCTCTCGTCGATAAAACGGGTTCCCGTTTCCTCGTCGGAAAAAGGATACCTTTACACAAATTCGTTTTGCATTCACTTCCACGAGATATCGCTGGTCTTCTTTTCAATGTATTTAATTGTCGCATCGCAGCTAATGAATCCTCAATAAATGATACAATATTAATTTTAAATGATAATTTCACATGTAATTTCGAATATGTTTTTCATGCACGAATCAGTCGCATAAAGAAAATTTAATTATAATTAATTCTATTTTATATCTGAAAAGAGTGTAGCAGAGATGGTATTTT